GGGGGGGGGGGGGGGGGGGGGGGAACGACTGTCTTTAAAGCTGCACTAAATTATTTTTTTGTCTCCATGGGGCAGGCTAAACAAGCTGAAAACACATCTGCTATATTATCATCTTATTAAGTTGATATGGCTAACATGTTTGTAAACAGCTAACTATTTACACATGTAGCAGACACAGAGTAACACTAAAATGTATTCATTCATTCATTTATTTGTAGTGGTCCTTCTGAGCAACTGACAGCTGACAAAAGTATATTCAATATTCACACTCCTGGTTTGGTTTCCATCAACTCTTGAGAAAATGACCTGTCTCTTTGGCTGCTAACTGCTCCATTATATTCACCAGCAAGTCTCTGTGTCTGCCATTTGGGCAGGTGGTGTACAATAAGTTTATCAGGGCTTTTTAAAGAAAACAGCTGCCTGCAACAACTGGAAATTAAGATTATGACAATAGTGTTAATGGGCTGTAAAACCAAAACAATGACCTAGGCGAGATGTTGGAGCCTATTCATATTATTTATCAATTTTTTAGAAAATGGTAAATCAAAATAATGCTGATGATAATGTTGATTAATTATTGAAAGTTGTAGATCATATATTGCAGATAAATTATGATTTATTATGATTGTTCTCTGCTGCTCACGGCCCTCCTCCTAGTCAGGCCATCCTCCTCCTGTGATTAGGGAGAGAGGACAGCTGGGTTTCCCTTTTGTCTGCCTTCTGTGTTGAAGGAGTGAGGAGTGAGACAGTTTATCTACCACTAAATTAAGTTTTTTGTTTTGGTCATTGTGTGAAGTCAACCACGGAGAATATTTTTGTTTATGTAAATAAATTTGGAACCTTTTTTGAACCTGGAAAGATCTCTGCGAGTGCTTATAATTTTTGAGTCATAGACCTCCTCCTCAGAAGACTACTCTGCTATTATTTTTTACCTTTTCTTGAAAGCAAGAGTAGCTATATTACGTGGCTAAAACACTTTGTGGAGTGGAGAAGAGTTATCACCTGATTCAACTCAATTCAATTCAGAAAGTCCCAATTTGACTGATTTCAGTGTCAATTCAACTGATTCTTGATTATCAAAATACATCAGATTAGGAATGTTAGTTTTAGTTAAATTTGCCTTCTATCCACCTTATTTTTCACGGAAACACGAAGGCAAAACAGAACGCAGCCAGCTTCCGTTTTTTTGTGCGACACTTTCGGTCCAGCACTCTTATCACTGTGTAAATGGGAATCGCCTTGTTGTTTACCTTGCTGAGTTTAGCTATATATATATGTATATATCACATTTTTCACGTCACTATATCACCATTTAGACTAATCTGATGTTTGTAAAGTCTATAAACACAATGACTGAACAAACATTAGTATTTTCTCTGTGTGTAATTAATAACATGGTTATCGTAGATTAGCTGGGCTAACCGTTAGCTGTTAGCCATTAGCCGTTAGCCGTGTCTGTAATAACTCACTAAACTCACAAAGTGGCCCGTGAAAAAAATATTTTCTCCAGCGGATGTCTTAGTTACAACATGACTGAGCTAATTGGAGTAGTTTCATGTCGTATCCGACAACGGGAGGCTTTTAACGGATGATGATCCTGATGTTAGCTTTGCTGCTAGTGTTAGCTGTCCCTGTCAGCTGCAGCCACTGATGCTTTCTAGACATTGTGATTTCCCAAAACTGAATAAATACCACACATAGAAACACAAAACTGCTTTGCTAGCTCAATCATGTTGTAACGGCTGGATGGTTGATGCGTACATGCTGATTCAGGTGCTATCAGAGCCAATCCGCACATCACTATGGCTTAATGATCAACTCAGTCAATTAAAACAACCCGTCCTGTGTTAGGAGTGTATGTCGCTGACAGAAAGAAAGAAAGAAAAGGGAAAAAAAGATAGAAAAGCAGCGTACACCTCACATATTTATTTCACACAGGTGCGCACACGTTTGGCTGGCATGCAGAAGCGCCGTCTGTGTGTCTGTGTGTCGAGGGTGCGAGCCGCAGCTTCAGCTGCTCAGGTAGAGAGGCTGTGTAGCCCGGTGTGTTTTTTCGCTGATTCAGTTCTGCAGGTTTTCTGCTGGTACACTGGAGACGGGGATCAAGCAGTTTGTCTCACTCGGGAAAGACTGTGCTTTTTTCGTTCATAGTTTATGATTGACGTGCGATTTATTCGCGTTTAGAGGGAATAAGTTTCCGTTATAACGGAAACGTGGGCACAGTTATCTAACGTTATACAAAATACACAGACTAACTAACTAACTAACTAACTGATTGACTAACATAAACAACTGAAAATTGAAAAAAAAATTAGCTTGCACCGTTAGCTCCGGTAAGGGAAAGCGGCTGACTGGAAGTCACGCACAAAAACAACGGAAGTTGATCACTATTTACTTCCATGTTTGAAAATAAGGTGGATAGCCTCACACCCATTAACTGATAATTAACTGGTTAATTTTTAAGAAAAAAAAAAAAAAAAGCAAAATGACGTGAAATATAAGAGATCTGTCATTTCAGTTTCATGCTCCATTCATTCAGTGAGGTTTTGTGCTGCATTTCAAAGTGCTAGCTATTTAAAAGTGGTGAAGCGTTAATGTTTTCTGATGTAAATGTCTTTTATTTTCTGTTAGCTTTGCTGACAGACAGATGACTAGCTGCATCAACATGTGAAACATCTTGACCCCTGTAAGTGCGACAGGTTTTAAAGCAATTTTTTTTAGTGGCCACAAAGTGGTAATGCAATTACTCAGGTCTATCACGTGATGCCCAAAACGACTATTTTCAATGAATTAGACTGTGAGAGAGAAGTCTATGAATCTATGAATTTTTGTGCGTCACAAACCTCACAAAATGACTTGTTCACTCTCAAGATTTAGTCCTTTCAATACGATAACATTTCGAAAGTCTAAAAGAGCCACAAAATCAATTAATTTTATCCCCATCCAAGTTAGCGGAGTACTAAACCGAAGTCAGCTGAGGTGAGAGTTGGCTGTTCGGCCACACTTGGCCACGCTCAGCCATGCTTGGCGGCTGTAAGTCTCTAGTGCGCATGATCAATGGGCCCAATGATGCAGAAGCTGTGCTGATCATAATAATTAATTTCACACCACTGCAATAGAACTTTTTTGGCTTCATGCGTCACTGAGCAACTTTTATAGGAATGAATGGGGCCCCTCCACCAGTGCTGTATCCAGGTCTCTTAATATATCCATGTAAAACATGGTGCCCCTTGCTCAACCTCCAGTCCCCACTGGTTAGCTAACATTAGCCTTGGCTGCTCTGCACTGTACACCAGCCTGGGTCAGGTGGGGGCTAGTTGGTCAGTGGAACCTCTCATTCGCAATTACCACTGGTAACACCATCCCAGTTGCGGGACACTGTTGGCGTGGAAACATGGTGGTCACCCTCTGGCCCTTCCCAGGTACCCTCGGTGAGTAAGGGACTTCATTTTAAGCTGCAAAACCTCTATAGCATTGTTAACTATGTTAGCACCACCAGCCATGCTAACACTGCCAACCAAGCTAGCAGTGATAACATAGCTAACAACGCTAAAGGGGGTTTGCAGCTCAAAGTTGAGCTGCTTACCCACCAGACCAAACCCGTGGGTAGAGGGGAGGGTGGGCACAATGTTTTCACAGCAAAGCTGCTGGGTTAGGATGGCGTTACTAGCTGAAACTGCAGAATGAGCAGCACCACTAACTAGCTCCCTCCAGACCCAGGAGGTTAACAGATTAATGGTTAATCACTGCTATTCCTACATCAGATAACTCCCAGTATTGCATGAAGCACTTCTCAGTGTTTAATCTGGAAACATCACTTTTACATTACTTCAAAGTTAGTACAGTTTTTGTCATTTGAACATAAAATTCAGAGTTTATTGGTAGCCTATAGGCTAAATTTTGAACACATTGTCTAGTTAGAAGACATCTGCTTTGTTGCCCCGGCTATACTGCAGGGACAGATCAAACAAAGTAAATCACAGTTTAATTCACTACCATGGCATCACCTCTCAAAACCAGAAACAATATCTTATCACCAAACACAAGAGCACAGATCACTGTGCAGAGTCCTTCATTCATTCTTTCACTTTCCGTTACTGCTTAGGAGTTGTGGAGCGTCTGGAGCCTAACAACCCTAACAAAGATGTGCCTGCTATATTTGCTACCTGACAGCCCTGGCTACTAGTCATCCTGATGACAGTCCTGTTAACTGTGGCGTACGCTTAAATTGTACCTATACCTGTCATAGTTTATAAGACTGGAGACAGCGAATGTAGCCAGCTATCTGAATTGCTTATAGAAATGACTCTTATTTCCACATAAAATGATACACATACAGTGTTGGCTGAGAAAAGGCAGAGATGCAAAGATGGATAATGCAACTATACAAATTAATACTGGATAACTGACAGAAGATTAATCAGAATAATGATTTTTCTGCCTAGCCCCAGTGATTAGTGTGTGGGTTTGTCACCATTAGCGACATCTTCACATTACACACAGTAAGTTGATTAAATGTCAACATAAAAAAAAAGATTAGTGCAGCTTCAAAACCATTTAAGAACAAAATGCAACAGTGAAAATGTTTTTTTTCATCTGCATGGTGGCAGCAATATACTGTACAGTTTAATACATCAAAATGTTTAGTGGTAAAAATGGCAAGCTTTATAGGAAAACACTTTCTCGTGCACAGCTGTGTACTAAGTATGGAACATGCATGTACTGTATGCAGCTTCTTAAGTCTCTTTTCACTCTTAAGCAGAAAAACAGCCACAAACATTCAGTTTTAATGCAGCATAGAGAAGAAGAAGAAATGGCTAGATGAGGAACATTGCAGTGGTACGTCTCACCATCTGTGCATTGATTCAGTCAATCAGTTGTCAGGGATCAAACTGCCTTTCAGTGAACTTATAGTACATGGTGCAGCCCCACACCTTTATATTGTGATTGCACTACAATTGGCTCAAAAGAACGATAATGTAAAATAATTTTTTTATGTTACATGTTTTGTGTGACATCAAGCCAACTATACTTACCCAATCACCTCAACAGATTCATTAAGGTACAGGTCAGCGATCATAGAACTAGCGATGCTCCAATCGCCATCTGCTGCGATGATGCCAACACCAGTTAGACCGACTTTATCCAACGTGTTCCGGAGCACCTTGGCAACAAACACATGCTCTCAGAGGAACCCAGCTAAAACTTAAAACCATCTCAACACTGAAAGTCAAACTGCATTCCCTTACATGGAACACAACTCAATGTTGGTGGCTGTTTTTCTCTTTAAATTTACAGTTTAGGCTAAGCATACCCATTATGCACATTTGTCAGTAATATCAATGACGGGACATTAAGAGATAGGAGGGTAGGATTACCTTGATGTACTTGCTGTCATAGTTTCGCTCATTCCAAATCTAAAGAAATGAAAATGAATTTTAGTTTTATAGCAGACCTGTTAAAGTTCACTGAAAATCTGCAGCTCTAACAAATCCCTTAATCGACATTACATAATCAACGTTTTCATGCAAAAGGGTTATATGCCACTGAACTTTGTTAGTTGTCCTGTTTTACAGCCCCTACATTTACCTGGAACACTGTCAGTAAGAAAGTTGTAATTACGATTATTCCATCTTATTATAGCTCATGTTGTATTTTCATAGTTCTAATCCTTTGAGTTAGGATAACAGGAGAGAGCAAAATGCTTCAAAGTATAGTTATACTTAACAAGAGTTGATGCCAACGCTGCTTGTTGTTACAAGTTCAACAACTCCTGGGCATGTAAGGGCAGAAACACGAATAGTCTTTCGAAACATGTAGTCAAAGTGCATCACATAAAGTCAGAGAAATGCACCACTTCTGACCACCTAGCTCGTAGTTTATCTCCCATTACCCCATCCACCTCAGGTATGTTATAGTCTATAACAGTAATTCATTCAGGTTTCTGAGGTTTCTAGCATTGTTTCCCTGTTAAAGGATTTTTTGGAAGAGTTTTTCCTTATCCACTATGAAGGTCCAAGGACAGGGATATCATATGCTGTAAAGCCCTGTGAGGCAAATTGTGACTTGTGATACTGGGCTTTATAAATAAAATTGAAATTGAATTCAAAACAATGCTGTAGCAGAATGTTAATTTATATACTGTACTAACATACATAGAAAATAATCAATCAATCAATCAATCAATTTTCTTTATAAAGCCCAATGTCACAAATTACAATTTGCCTCACAGGGCTTTACAGCATACGACATCCCTCTGTCCTTAGGAAACACAGCAGATAAGGAAAAACTCCCCCATAAAAACTTTAACGGGGAAAAAAATGGTAGAAACTAGTGCTGCACGATTTGATAAAAATGTGCGACTGCGATTATGGTGGACAATATTGTGATTTGCGATTGCGATTACAATCTAATTACAATAAAATATAATAAATAAATGGTATCATGAGTCTTTTTGCTTGATTCAGTGTTTCCCCTACATTATATTAGCGGGGCACTGACCTGACAGTTATTGTTATGGACGGACAGTGTGTCAATGACCATCAACAGACTGAGCACAGTCAAACATGCTGCTCACACAGCAGCACAGCACATCTGCAGATGAAAATTAGCCTGTATGGCTAAATTTGGCACATTTACGTGGCTTAAGTGATCATGTTAATTAATGTGCACTGTCCCCTCTTAAATAAAATAAACATAAACTGTACACACACCGGAGCGAGCCTGTGTTGCGTTCAGGCATTGTCACGTAAATGACAAATTCCAGCGCCATAGCACAACACAGCAGCATGTCAAGTGGGCCGAACCCGAGCAAAGTTGCTCAATTTTTCATTTGTTATGGAGTCCATGATTTCCCTGTGACACTTACAAATGTTTGCTTAACTTGGATGTTGTTTTATGAGGCTCTGGCGGCTTTCAGCTGTCTCTTTGTCTTTAACATTACACGGCTCGGCTTTCTCTCACATGCACTCTTCCTACTTTTCCCTGTGCTGTGCTGTCTCAAGTGTTGATATAGATTGGTCGTGTTGCCGACTTTAACTTTTACAATTACACAGCACGTCTTTCTGTTCAACGTCGTCGTACCTGAATCCAAAGTATCGCCGTGTAACAGACGTTTTTTTTCGCCAGCTCAGCCTGTTCATGGTCGAGCTCATGCTCTTCTTCAGTGTCTGTGTTGGTCACTGGTGCATGCCGGCTGCATGCACCAGGATAGCTTGTGGGCGTGATGTCAACAAACTCCACACACTACAGGAGAGGCAGTCACGTTCACAGGCACACACGTTAACATTTATTTAGCCTACATTAAATCGCAAATCGCAGCCTTTTATGCGGTTATGTAATCGCATAGCCTGACATCGTGATTGCGATTGCGATTAGATTAATCGTGCAGCACTAGTAGAAACGTCAGGAAGAGCAAATGAGGAAGGATCCCTCTTCCAGCACGGAAAGACGTGCAACAGATGTCATACAGAACAGATCTACATTATAAATCAACAGTAATCCGTATGACACAATCATACATAAAGAGAGACAGAGAGAGAGAGAGAGAGAGAGAGATGCAGGACAGAACAGGCAATAACAGAAGTTGCATACAGATGTACAAACAGAATGTCCACTGTGAAGGTTTGGGCAGTTCTGATGATAAAGGCAGCTCTACTGTTCTACACACAGCATGGTGATTGAACAGGAATGAGACTCAAAGTAAATGAGTACATACCCCAACATAGTCAATGTCCAGGTCATGGTACTGCTTGGCACCAAGGATCCAGTTCACCACGTATGTTGCAGTGATGTCTGGGTAATCATAGGGCCAGTTCTTACCGTGGCCCACCCAACCAGGAAACGCCCAGGGCAATCCTACATGAAGACATACACCAACAGACACATGCAAGGCTGAGGATGCACTGTGTACCATGTATATCGTGTGATGACAGAAATGTGTCCACCAATATACATTTGGCTAAACTGATTCTACCATAGAAGCTATAGAGTGTGCCAGGGCTGACGTCAAAACCCGGAGCACTGGTTCCCAGAAGAGAAAGTAAATGTGATTTTTGCATTGCGTTTTGGATTATGTCAGAAAATAAGCTCTGTGGCTAACACAAGTTTATGATACTTACAGGTTTTGTTCAGCGAGATAATCTTCACATATGAACACCTTTCATACCGCATTTGAAGCTTAAATGCGATCGCCAGAAGTAAAAAGCTAACGTTAGGCTTTAACGGACTACATGACTACTCCACGTTCACATGACTCTTGACGTCACCGCCACTAAGCTTTCAACTGATTTCGGCCGCTTTATTTTAAAAACATTGTAAAATGGGGAAATCGGCCTGTTTAAGCTAAATAAGAAGCTGTAATGGCAGACTGCCAGCACTCTCGCCTGTTCGGGGTGATGACGTTTAATGTCCCCGACAGAGTTTGTAGTCATATTGAGCAACTTGTTAGCAACCGCCTTTTTTACGACACGTAAAAGCTTCAACATTCACAAGTAGGGTATTTACTGACGTGTTTTATGTCGTAGAACAAAACCTGAAACTCGCTTAAGCTTTTGTTAACCACAGACCTTATTTGAGGCATTTTACCAAAATCCCATTCAAAAAACGTATTCACTTTTAGATGAGAGAACCGGAAGTGCTAAAATCGCTAACGGAGTTCCGGGTTTTCCGGGTTTAGGGCAGGTTATATGTAGCAAATTAGGGTGTGCGTGATCTCATGAACTCACTAATCCAGCTGGCTTGCTATGTACTGTGATTTGGGCAGACATGGAGGACAGTGAAGTTGTGCATACAGAAACCTGTAACACCTGAAATTACTGTTCTCAGGAACCTTAAAGCCTCCATTTTGAAACAATTTTGGTTTTACCGTTTTGAGTTAATGTTAATTCATATAGGTTTAAAGGTGGAGTCTGTGATTCTGGAGAAAGACTGTTGATATTTGAACTAAACATCCAAACAAATACACTTCTCAAATCAGTGGTCCTTCATGGCCAAAACACACCAGCAACCAATGGTGTAAGTCAAAAAATACGCCCCTATCATTTTCAATGTACCATCCCAGAATCCGTGGCGGCTAGACGCGCGTCAGCACTCCTGAACGTGCTGTCCAGTGGCACCTCACACCACTATCCAATTTCCAGCCTCATCGCCCCCAGAATTAAATGCACTTTTCCCCAACTTGCTCTCTGCTTGTACATACCAGCCAGGATGAGGACAGACTTGTTGCTGAGGTCAACCTTAACGACCCACAGTCCTGACATTATGCCACATTATGGCTGTGGCTCAGAGGAAGAGCGAATTGTGTCAAGGTATCCTTCTTGGGCAAGATACTGAACCCCAAATTGCTCCCGATGCCTGTTCAATTGGTGTACGAGTGCATGTGAATGGTTACTGAGTAGCAGGGTTCCAGACTGAAGGCTGATTCCAAATATCCACCCTCTGGACTTGCCAACTGAGCCCTTGCTGACTTCAGGTGTATGTAGTCTGACGTATCTACTGTCATCACGTAAAGTCTGCGAGGGCAGAGACTGCAAGCAACTGATAGACAGCCCTTGAGACTGTTTTACTTGTTGCCATGTAAATGTTCAACTATAGCTGCTGTCATAATCATATGTCCTATAAGTTGATGAATAGTGTCTACTCATCTATTCCTGTAGATAACAAGATATAAATCCCATGTATAGACTTTTTTGTGACTAAACAAAAATGTATTCATACATCTCTATGTAACAGGCTACAGCCGTTTGTAAATAAGGATGGGACTATAACTCTATAAACTGAGTATTACTTACATTAGAAGACCTTCTTTCGTCCTTTTCAGCCAGTTTTTTAGCCTATTTCATTGCTGCAGCCACAATTATAAAATGCATTTTCAGTCCCTCTACAGCAAGCCTATTCAATTGCCATATTAAATGGCCCGAGTCAAATCTAATCAAGGCTGTAATAATAGTAAACTCTGACATTATTGGCTCTTATCGATACTTTTTTAAGTTTTGGTTTCATGTGTTATCATGCTGCAGCCTCTCTCCTGTTCTCGGTGTGTCAGGGCTGACCACCTCCTCACAGCACGCGCGCACTCGCGCGCACACACACACACACACAAACACACAATCATAACAGAGTGAAGTCAGACAACAGAAGTGAAGCTGCGGTGCAGATGAAGGTAGTAAAACTTCAAGATTACTGGAGTTGATGACAGTTACTGTAAGTAAGTGCAATAAAACCTCTGTCAATAAAAAGCCAATACTTTATCCATACACGTGATCAGCATGTAGAAAGCCATTTTTCAATCCGCTCTGCCCACAGCCTCTCATTCACCGCTTTTATGGTTTACAATCGCGGTTTACACAAGCACATTGCGCTAGTGGGGCTAACTAAAATGAAAGCTGTCTGTGTGTAGTCTAACACTTTATCTGAAAATGTACCTGAGGTAGCTACCTCAGGTACATTTTCAGATAAAGTGTATACATACATACATACATCCCTAAGCACTCTCAAACTTCCCAGGAACACACCCTCAGAGTCTGCAAGTCTTCAAGTGCAGTGAAGTGGGAACATTTGGATTCAGCCGGACAGTTTCCCAACAGTTTCCAGCAGCCTTCAGTCCGTACAGGAAGTCACAGAAACAAGATATGATGATGATGTCCGATATGATGTTGATTCATCAAAATATTCAGACTCATATTTCAGTTTGTTCTCAGTCTCCAATTGTTTTAATCATAGTAGATTAATTTATTAAAATGCTTTAAAGGCTTTCTGCAATTTATGTTCATGTTCAATCTCCATTTTACACAAATTCTCATGTAAATCAGCATTATATCAGTTTGCTGCTGCAGAGCAGCTGAGCAGACCTGGCGCCTCAACTACATAGGCTAAATAAATTGTGTCTGACTATAAGGTTAATATTTTCAGAGGAAAAAAAAATAACAGCAGACAACAGCTTTCATTAAAGGGATAGTTCAACTTTTTAGCAAATTTGCCTATTGCCGTAATCCCTTTGTCATATGGGTAGGTACATTACCTTTAATTGTCAGTGCATGCTGTTCTGAGATCGGTGGGACAGAGCTGCCCGCTGAAATGGAGGTGAACGGTACAGGTCCCTCTCTCCCTCAAAACTAATCAAATACACCAACAAATGACTCCAAAACGCTCTTGTGGACAACTTGTAGCTTACACATTCACCACGCTATGAAATAATAATGTAATATTACGAGACAGAGTTGTTTTGAAGCCAAATGCAAAGCCGGAACTACATTCCAGACATACAGTACTTGCTGGGCGGAGTGATTTCAAACAGCGTATGTTTAGTGCAGTTACTCCCGTCATCAAAACAAGTTTGTTGAGAAGAAGCCAGAATATACAGAGGAAGAGTTTCAGGTTTTGGAAGAAGAGAGAGCAAGAAGGGAGCTTGAGGCTGCTGAGCAACCAGGGGCTGAGGGGAGACCCAGAGCCGGTGGTGTAAATGTGGGGTACACCTGTGCAATATAAATATAGAGTACGCCTCAAAATAATCGTCGGAACACGGGGAGAACATGCTAACTCCACACTCATAAATCACCACAACTCCTGAAGGAACAACAACATAAAATGTTCCCTAGCAGTCTGTTTATTCCCAACAATGAGAAGTAATGCCAGTCACTTCACTATATGCTCTGGGCAAGCACTTATCCATAACATAACCACAACAACATTTGCATTTTAGCCTTATTTACCATGCTTGGGTTGTAGGCTAATGTTACTCAACATGGAGGTAACGTTACAGCAGAGAGATTGCTGAACAAAATACACAACGATCACTTACCAAGTCTGCACGTTTTGTGATGCCGACAGATGGCGTGACAGTATCTTTCAAGAAAGGAGTTTGAACCATTCCTGAGCTTCTGCGCTCCATCCTTTCAGCGTAGTCCTCCGGTAAAAAATGGCAGGAGCACACAAACATTTTCCGGACCGTTTCCACCAGCATGTTGGGATCGATGTCCAGCACAAATAGCCATTGTTTCATCCTGTCCGTATTACTGGTTGGAACTACGTGAAACTTCACTTTTCTCCATGTCTTTGGCTTGTTACAGCAACCTTTTACAATACATGTGTAAAACATGATTTACAAAAACACTTGTAAACTTTCCTCAAACCTTCTGCTGCGTCCAGCTGACGATACCGTAAATGGCTACAAGCAATAACAACGGCACTGTCTCAGCTGCGCACTGTGTCACTCCACCCAGTGGTTTACTCAAGAAAGTAGTTCAGAGTATTTGCTTCATGTGTCGTGATGTTACTTAATTATACATTATTTTTTCATAGCGTGAGGAAGGCGCAAGCCATGTGTTGTCCACTAGAGCGTTTTGGAGTCATTTGATGGTGTATTTGATTAGTTTTGAGGGAGAGAGGGACCTGTACCGTTCACCTCCATTTCAGCGGGCAGCTCTGTCCCACCGATCTCAGAACAGCACGCACTGACAATTAAAGGTAATGTACCTACTCATATGACTATAGAGATTACGGCAATAGGCGAATTTGCCAAAATGTTGAACTATCCCTTTAAGATCAGAAAGCTATAGTCAGGGCTTCACATCTGTACTGATATTATTTTATGAATCCTCACATCCCACTAACCACAAATCTCTGTGATGTTCTATGTTAATATACAATAGACTGCATATAGCCAAAAATATGAATAATTGCGTTGCAGGACTATTTAAGGTGCGTCCCTACATTTTTCGCTTGTGCTCCTTAAATTTTCAGTTAGGTGCTACAGTGCTCCTACTAAAAAAAAGTTAGTCTGGCCATGTATGGTAGCCTCAGCCTCCAGTGTGTGACTGTGTCTGTGACTGGTGAATGTGACATGTAGTGTAAAATGCACTTTTAGTGGTCGAAAGACTAAGAAAGAGCTATATAAGCGCAGTCCATTTACCATTATAAAGACCATGGACAAAAGATATTACCTGGAGAGTCATAGCTCTGGAGCTCAGCGCTTTAGGTGAGAAATCAACTTTAATTAATGGGTGTCCACACATAATTTTAAGCTAATGCAAAGGTGGAGTAAGTACAGGTTTTTCAGTAAAAGTAGTAATAACTTTGTGTGGTCATCTGTTAACAAGCTGCAGCGCAATATGTACAGTGTGTGCTAGAAGCGGCATATGGGAGGCCCCTAGGGACGTTATTCAGAATTACCTCTCACACACACATGTGAAATGCTCTTACATACACTACTGAAACACTCTCACACACACTACTGAAAAAATATTCGCTCGCATACACTACTGAAACGCTCTTACACACACATGTGAAATGCTCTCATATATACTACTGATAGTGTGTGTGTGAGAGTGTTTCAGTAGTGCATGTAAGAGCATTTCACATGTGTGTGTGTGTGTGTGTGTGTGTGTGTGTGTGTGTGTGTGAGAGAGGTAATTCTGAATAATGTCCCTGGGGGCCCCCCATAGCGGCATTTGAGGCGCATCACCTCACTTTATTTGTTTCCTATTAATGGAGCCAGAGCTATGTATGTGTATGAAAACCAGATTTCCTTTCAGTGGACACAGAATAACTAGCGGACTGTGAGAAAATATTTGCTAAATGTGACAAAAAGTGTACTGGATTAGAATTGCAGACTGCACCTTTACCAGCTGTTTGTTTGAACTTCCTGGAGTGCAGAGCAGAAGGAACCACATTGTGCTTCTTACCTATGAGTGTGATATTTGGATTCCTCTTCTTGGCCTCTTTCATCAGCCACCACTCGTACCCTCGGAAGTAGTTCCCATCATTCTCATAGTGCATGTGTGAAGGCTCCGTTCCATCTTGAAAAACATAATAATCCAATGAAATGCACGAGACAGGGAATTGCAAAGTTAACTCATTTTTCAATATGTCATCTATGGATACAAGGTTTATACAGGGTTTATCCATGGCCCTGATGCAAAATACTATACTACCAGAATATCAAAACAGTTACATTATACTATACGACATCTGGCTTACTATTAGAGCCCTGTCTTCTGTACATGGATAGCACAGGATGAGTTGGAAAGGAAACAATTCTGGTTCACTACTCCTCTCCGCCATGACTCTTTCTTGTTGCAAGCTTTCAGCAGCAAAGTCATTTGAAGTTATTGTTTTGCAATGTGCCGTTTTCAGAGAGACATGCCAGCTTTTAAAAAATAAACTGATAAGCGTAAAGGCATAGGATTCAGAGTCCAGTTTGCTATTGATTCTCAAATGGAACCAGTTCTGGATTCTCATCTGTTACGGACTAGTCAAGTTCTCCTGTTCAAGTGCCACTCTCGCTAGCTCTAGCTTCTGCTCCTGCTCTCTTGCTGCCACCTTTGCCAACTCAAGCTGAAACACCCTCTCTCCTCCTCCCTCTTGCGTACTACTCTCCCTTTCTCTTGCTCCGCTCTCTCTCCCTCTCTGCTCGATCCCTCTCCTGTACAGGATCAGGAAAGAACAGAACAGCAGACTGGTTTGCCAGGCACGAGACATAACACAGGTAGGCCAGCTTACCAGGTACGCAGGCTATGTGCATTCAAACGGGGTAACTCCTCATGGCATGGCTGCAAAAGTTTTCCTCTGCCACACTCACACACCTGAATCTTGTCACCTCATTAACTAACTCCAGAGGGTGCGTGCGCACCTCAATGACGTGACATAAACAAACACACAGCTCTACCATACCATTATTTCTCAGTGGAAACCAGTCCAAAACGTAGATGAAAGACAAGGAAAAGGAAAAGGAAAAGAAAAGAGGAACTATAATCCTCCTATCACTCCTAACACATCCCTAGCTGACATAACACCACCTTTACGTTTTAATACTTTAGACATTATGAAGTAATGTTATATTTGTTTTTCATATTATAATCTCACTGTTAAATTAATATTCTTTTTAAAATGACACTTACTACTCATCATATTTCAGGATACATTTAAAAACACCAGAGGTTAATACATTCACCACTAAATGCTGGTACTGACAATGGCAATTTTAACAATCAGTTCATTGTCAAAATGCATTTTTGACACTTTTTTCAGCTTCCACCTCCTTAAATGTGTGAATTTTCAACTTAACTCAATCTTATAGTGCTGTAAATTAAACATCTTTGGGTTTAATGCCCCAATTACACAGAAAGTGTTTTGGCAGCTTGAGACAGCGTTTTGTATTTTTTTTTTTATGAGAATGAAGCTTTTTGCTCGCTGTGTTTGCGTTGCTATGTGCCTCGTGTTTCTGCACTAGTGTTGTCACGATACCAAAATCTTTGTTTCGGTACCATTACCAATATGAATTTCAACACTTTTAGATACTCTTCTGTACTTTTCCTAAGGAAAAGTCCTTTTGGATACAAACCTTTAGAACAATAAATAGTAGGGGTGTAACAGTACCAAAAAAATCATGGTTTGGTAAGTACCTCGGTACGGACGTCACGGTTTGGTAACTCAAATGTTCCACCAAGTTTGTGTTGTCTCCCTTTGCGAGGCAGACTTTCTCTTGTCTTTTTTCACGCGCCAGCTGCGGATGTTGATACAGGTGTTGTCATACACACCACTTGTGCAATCTGTGCTCCAATAGGAACAAGAAAGGCGTTTGTGTGCATAAATGAGTAAAATAGATTAATTAAATTAATGAACTGAATCAATTTCAAAGTACCGGCATTTTCCAAATGCAGTATAGCACCCTTTGGAATACTCTAGTACCGCGGTGCTATTTTAGTACCGGTATACCGTGCAACACTATTCTGCACTCTAGGCCCCTGACGTTTTTGCAGGAGTGCTCTGAACTCCTCGAGTTGAAAAAACTTCAGCTCAGAGCCAAAAAGCACCCCATGTCATCTTCGCTTTTTCCCCCATTGTCCAGTTGGATGATTTGAGAGGCGGGCCTTCTGTGGTGGTCACGACAACAAGTTAACAGGAAAAAGTGGTGGTGCTCAGTCGCCTGGCAGGACCAATGGACTCCCTGTAGTTAGTAGGCTATTCATTTTTGTTGTGCTAGGTCTGAAAATAGACAGCAGGTTGTCAAACTGCCTCCAAGTGTGGTTGCAGAGATATAACAGTTTCAAGATATACCGTGATGTAAAAGTTGATGGTTATCATACTATATACAATTGCTTATCGACAATTTTGGGGGAAAAAATGCAACTGGACGGAGAATCTCCCTTTTATTTTACTTATTTTTAAAGGGAGACTTTTTACACATACTTCCATTGGTTCCAATGGTTTCTAGTTTTAATTACAGCAAAAAAAACATTCGTTCAACCACAAATAATACTTCTGTTTTCATTCCTTAAAGCAGAAAGAAAAAAAGAGAAATCTGGACACAATGGCTGGACCAGTTAGGAACCACTGCCTTAAAGGGTCATTCTGATAGATGATAATATAAATTCTGTAATACCATGATAGCGTGAAACTGCGATATTATCTGAGACGTTTATCGTACCATGAAAATATCACTCTGTTGCAACCCTACCTCTGAGTCATCCTAAAAAATGCCTGGAAACAGCCATTATGAAGGCAAAGATCCTGGACCAACTGGTGGTACTCCCTCTGACAGTGGCGTAAGGTAGTTACAATGGGCCCCAGTGCACGCTATTATGAGGGGCCCTATTACACCCTAGTTACAAGTTATGAAGCACACACACACATACACACACACACACACGGTTTTAAGTGCATATATTTTAGCAACAGTTTGTCTTACTGCTGCTTTTACAGTACATCCACTTGCAGATACTTGATATTGGACACATTAACATACATATCATACAGCAATCATCATTACATATCTGTATAAGACAAATCTACAAAAGAAAATAGGAAATTATTAGTTTAACTTGATAGTTTTTTATTGGTAAATTATATATTTTTTAAGTAGTTTATGTAGAATAAGTTTATAATTTGTTATAGATTGCCAGGTAGCAGTCAGGCCTCTCCACTCCATGGGCCCCAGTGCAACCGCACTGCCTGCACTGTTTATATTTACGCCCCTGCCCTCTGATCCACCCTCTTTTTTAGGGACTCATGTACCCACAAAGATCTGTTTCCCTGTGCCCAACAAACTATTTGCTGACAGCCTCTCACCCTCAACCAGAGCTACAGCAAGTACCATCTGCCTGTCCATTGTAGGAACTAGCTACTAATTATTGTAAAATATATATATATATATATATTTTTTAAATAGCAGTACTGTACAGCCCAACATGTAAAACGCTTTCTGTGTGATCGGGGCCTTAGACTGTAATTCGAAGGTGTCATCTTGGGCTCAAGGAACTTGAACTGGCCATTGTTCACTATTTTATGGCAATTAGCATGTTGAAATATGAATCAATCAATCAATTTTTTTTTATTTTTTTTTTTAAACTTGTAGTTCAATCAAATATCTCTCACCAGTAGTTTGAGCGTCTCCTCCAATCTCCACCTTCAGTATGTGCAAAGAGGCTCCAAAGTTTGGCTGAAGACAAAAAAGAAACTCTTCCAGTTGGTTCCCATGTAACGTTACTTTCAATAAAACTGTATGACCTGCATCGTATCATACCTTAAAAAGGTAGTCTAATATCTGGCTGCGGTAAGGCTCAGCGTAATTGACCAGTAAACGAGACGTCGCCTGGAGGAAGCAGCAAATAAAATGTGACATGAGAAGCAGAATAACGATAACAGAAAGATTCTGTCCTCTTATGGACAGTGTCGGACCAGGAAGTACATAAAAAAACTGACTGAACTCACCCCTCCGCCGCTCAAACCTCCAATTCCGTCAAAAACTCTCCCAACGCCCTCGTTATCGTCCAGGACATAACTCTGAGGAGAGGAGAAACTCAAAGACAAACTAAGAAATAAAACACTGACAGCCAATACGCCGTACCCCATCCTGCTTAACTCGAAACTGGGAGCTTTGGACGCCTGCGCGCGGCTGCTATGCACGCTCACTCCTTCTGTACGTCACATGACAGCGTTGCTGAGCGGTCACGTGGTCTCAATACATACAAAATATAACAAACTCTTACTGATTTTGAGATAAATATTATAAAATCTAATATATATTTCATTAGATTAGATGCAGATAAACATATATTCTTCAGCTTCCCAATTATCAAGTTTCTTCTTTCCTTAATTTTTATCAATTTAACGTTAGTTTAAAATAAACATGACAGCACTTAAAAAGAAAGATCAAAATTTTCTTTTAAGATGTCTTTTAAAAAAATCGATCTTTAAATGTACACCAAATCATGAAAATGTATGGTTTGGCAATTGTCAATTATAACTACAATGACAGTTTGCCTTTTGTGTAATAAAGTCTACTAAGAATGCAAGTTGAAAAGAGCAGACATAAATTGATAACCATCCCAGCAAAGAGGTTACCTAAAAGTTCCTGTAGATTTAGAAGTTTTGAAACCTTTAAAGAACGAGTGAACTGAGGTTGTGGTTGCCCTGAGAGACGGAGGCAGCTAATTAAAGACTGCTGAGTTTGACCTGCTCCACGTTGTGGCTGCTGCCGGTGACTCTGTGGACTGATGATTCTCAGCTGCAGGAAGGTATGTGTATATGTGTATGTATATGTATATGTGTGTATATGAGTATGTGCATTATATATGTGTGTAGATGCATGCATGTATGTATCTGGGGCATTCTACCGAATGTGTGCAAAGTCAGGCTGGAAATATTTTGAAATTTTGTATGTTTTTTTTCCAAAACTTTGTCCCTATATATATTGTACCATGTGTAAAGGTCACATATCTAGTAAAATGACTGTAAATTTTTATATTGTATTTTCAGACTGTTTTGGAATGATTTTCCTCTCCCAAAATTTGTCACTACCGAAACATATAGTATTATATTATACAAAAAAATATATATCAACCTGTTATGCTTGTTTCTTCCCTTGTCTAAAGATTTAAATTTTTACAAATTTTGATTGAAGGTTTTCACAATTAAATCTATAAAAATAATATTTTAACAAATTTCGAAGTTCAAATTATAGAATTCTTCAAAATCTAAATGCAATCTTTCTTTGTAAAATGCATAACGCTGATCAGATTGATTTCAGAGTTAATAACTGCTGAAACAGAACATAAATGTAACCCATTAGCATCATAATACTTTAGTTGATAACTCAATATACTTTATTTTTTACAAAACACCCAGTGTTTCGGTAGTGACTGCACTGTTTCGGTAGTGACTGTCCTGTTTCAGTAGTGACCATTATTCTGTTTTTAAGGTTGCATCATATTTCCTCAAATGTATGCCTTATGGTGGGAATGAGCAGAGTAGAACAGAGCAGAGTAGATTATAGTATAATAGAGTAGAGCAGAGTAGAGCAAAGTAGAGCAGAGTAGAACAGAGGAGAATAGAGTAGAGCAGAGTAGAGCAAAGTAGAGCAGAGTAGAACAGAGGAGAATAGAGTAGAGCAGAGTAGAGCAAAGTAGAGCAGAGTAGAACAGAGGAGAATAGAGTAGAGCAGAGTAGAGCAAAGTAGAGCAGAGTAGAACAGAGGAGAATAGAGTAGAGCAGAGTAGAGCAAAGTAGAGCAGAGTAGAACAGAGGAGAATAGAGTAGAGCAGAGTAGAGCAAAGTAGAGCAGAGTAGAACAGAGGAGAATAGAGTAGAGCAGAGTAGAGCAAAGTAGAGCAGAGTAGAACAGAGGAGAATAGAGTAGAGCAGAGTAGAGCAAAGTAGAGCAGAGTAGAACAGAGGATAATAGAGTAGAGCAGAGTAGAGCAAAGTAGAGCAGAGTAGAACAGAGGAGAATAGAGTAGAGCAGAGTAGAGCAAAGTAGAGCAGAGTAGAACAGAGGAGAATAGAGTAGAGCAGAGTAGAGCAAAGTAGAGCAGAGTAGAACAGAGGAGAATAGAGTAGAGCAGAGTAGAGCAAAGTAGAGTATAGTAGAGCAGAGTATAGTAGAGTAGAGCAAAGTAGAGTATAGTAGAGCAGAGTATGGTAGAGTAGAGCAGAGTAGTGCAAAGTAGAGCAGAGTAGAACACGGCAGAGTAGAGCAGAGTATAGCAGAGCAGAGTATAGTAGAGTAGAGCAAAGTAGAGCAGAATATAGTAGAGTAGACCAGAGTAGAGCAGAGCAGAATAGAGTAGAGCAGAGTATAGTAGAGTAGAGCAGAATAGAGTAGAGCATAGTATAGTAGAGCAGAGTAGAGCAAAGTAGAGCAGAGTAGAACAGAGCAGAATAGAGTAAAGCAGAGTATAGTAGACTAGAGCAGAACAGAGCAGAGTATAGTAAAGTAGAGCAGAACAGAGCAGAGTCAAGCAGAATAGAGTAAAGCAGAGTAGAGTAGACCAGGGTAAAGTAGAGCACAGTAGAGCAGAGAAGATCAAGACTTTGGACCACAAAATTATAGGGTTTAACTACTGACCATTCCATTTTGTCACTACCGAAATGATCATGTCACTACCGAAACTTTACCATAGGTTTTGGTAGTGACTGTTTCGGTAGTGACATTCCTAGCTATTTTTCAGGATAAAAAAAGAATGCTAGCAGTCACATGGCTAACAAGCACATGTTTGAAGAGTTGTTCACACAGAAAAACAAACAAACAAACAAATATTTTGCATAAACCCCCCAAATTTTTACATAAATGAAGAGAGCGTGTGTTCGGTAGTGACGGTTTTAAAAGTTACACACTGATTTTCTGACTTTGGAAGACATTTATTTAAAAAATGATGGGAGTCAGTGACTTACCATGCAGCCATGTGGGACGGGGGTGCAGTACTACCCCCCTTCTCAGAAATTCAGGGGTGTGGCTAAAATCCAGACTCAACCAGTGCATTTAAACTCTTGTGTTTCGGTAGTGACATGAAAACAAGGGACACTGTTTTTTTAGCGTAGTTTCTTAATTTAAAAATTAATCCCACAATACATTTAAATCTTTCAACTTCTGTTTAAACTTAATCACAAAGTTTTAAATTACACTTTTGAAAAAAATATGAAAAATGTTTTAAGTGTTATTTACATGAATTGAATTTTAGAGGTCAGGGTTGGGGACAGCTACTTCCCAATAGAAAGTACCCTGTAAATGGTGATTTTGTATATATTTAGCTTATCACTTTTTCATTTAATGTCCTGGGTTTAAATAGGTCATAACATAATCTTTGTAAATATCTATGTCTGATTACTCAATTATATCATTTTTGTTGTTTTTTTTGTTAAGGGACAGCACTTTGCACAAAATCGGTAGAATGCCCCATCTATGTATGTATGTACTGTATATATGTTTACATATATGACTTAAGGTATAAAGGTTAGGGCATCTAATAAGCTACTTAGCTTCAGCCTTAACCCTTTCGGTCAGCCTTATGTACCCTTTTTTTTGTGTGTGAATATTTTCATTCTGTTTATTTGCTGATCGAAATAAACTCAACTAAAGATATGCCCTCTTTCAACTTGTTAGTATTGGATTTGTTTGTGGTTAACCTATTACATCACGGACCAAACAACTGACAAACAAGTTAGTTAGACTAGAATATTAGCGAGTTAGCTTACTAACTAGGTTAGCTATGCTAATGAGAAAACTTGCCAGTAGACCAGAATATTAGCAAGTCAGCATGCTAAATAGGTAGGCTTTGCTAACATGTAAGCTTGCCAATAGGCTAAAATATTGTTCTTTAAAATTATGAGTAAGGGTAATGTCATTTTGCAGTTGCAAAGACCTGTTAAGGGCACATTTTCCCTCATTTTGTAACAGCCTATTCAAAACTGTTTTTTGTAAGATTGCAGTGCTCATGTTTATCCAGGACTATTACTGTCATGTGGACTCTGGATAATGTGTTTGTTGATCCAGAACGTTCATTGATATTTAAATTTGAGATCATTGTTTATGTAGAAAAAGTTGCACTCTCTTGTGCAGTGCCTGCTGAAATATCAGCACAGGCCTCTGTGGCTCTGAATAAGATCACCTGGTAAATAGAATGGACTGATGGACAGCTGCATTGTGGCAACATGGTAAATTGGAGTGAATCTTTTATATTGGACAAAATGTATCCATGTATGTAAATGCATTTTTGTAGATTTTTTGTCTGACATGGTATCATATTGTTACAAAGACATAGGATGTGCATTTGTATTTTCAAAAAACTTTAAAATTTCAATTTCAAGAAGGATCATTTATTTATAATCTTGCAAATATGCCACTCAAGTGAAGCTTATTGATTACAGAGACAAGTCAGTTCATGTGCTGAATTGGAGGAACAACAATAATGCTCCTTATCCCAAGATTCCAGATACAACCAACAGTTCAGCTGTGTATTTATTCTGGTTAAAACAGACAAACTTCATCAAAGCAATCAGTTAACAGAGTAAACTGGACAACAGGGGCAACTACAAATAAATGTTCTGAACAGCTGTAATTGCTTTTCTGTGTTGTTTCATTTTTGACAGGAGAATGATATGCAAGGTGATGATCATTTCCGGATAAAAAGAAGCTGAGTTCATTTGTTCTTCTGCTCCAACTTTGTTTAGGTTTACAGCAGTGACACCTGGTGACTGCCTTCCTTATTACACCTCATGAAAATATGGTCACAACATAGACTGGCTCACAGCAACCCACAGAAAGTCTGGCAGAGGTTGATGTGATTCTTGAAAATAAATGTTAATTTTATAAATACATATATTCCCCATTATGTATAAACATAGGTGACTAACTAAGCTTCTGGCAGGAATAATTGGCAGCCACAAACTTTCTACAGAGAGAGAAAATTCCAAGAATTCATGTTAGATATATTTATCATTCCTCATAATTTCCTGATTTATTATTGTTGTTTGGACCCACAAATAATCGAGGATATCTTTTTTTGTAGATGTGATTTCTGGCATTATGTTACCTGAAGGTTAAAGGCTTGCTGTTGCCATGGTTTTTTGGCAGTGATATTCAATTTACGGCCTTGGGTGGCTGGTGGCCTGTGGATTGATTTCTAATT